TGCATAATATAAACTAGCATTTTCTCCAGCTAACCATCCCAAAGTTTGTATTCCAGAGGATCAGCCATTTTGATCAAGTTTTGTTTCAGCTGGTGTAACCTGCAAATTACAGAGCAGTGCACTGTAGCTGGGTAAACAAGCTGTGAGAGTCTAGCCGTGACAGCAGAAGCCTCAGCCCACATGCAGTGCCTTGTGGTTGAGTATATGAACCTGCAGGCAAGTGCCTGTCTCCTAGGCTCAATGTTCCTGGCAGTAAAGGTAGTTTGGGTGCTCTTTGCCATATGCCATGTCTCTCTTGGCTGTTTCCCTTGTCACCAGCTTTGAGCTGAGTGGGGTTAGACCGGTGGTTATGCTGGTGGATGAGAAGCTGCCGACAACGGGATGAAGTGCGGCAAAGCAGCATGTTTGGCATACATTGCGGGCTTACATGCACCACGGAGGGAGGATAAGATGGATACTGGCTCAGCAAAGCAAAGCTAAAGTTGGCAGACTGAAGAGTTAGTGGCTGTTTCTCTGTGTTCTTGAAATCATCGGGTGAGAAGCCTGCTACTCATGGATGATGTGCTGGTTACTTCTAACAACTATATAAGGGAGAATATTACAATTGTTGTACTGTGTTATTTAAAAGGCCTGATTAGAGAGTCACTGCTTCTTTTAAACCTTCAAACCCAGGAACCTATGACACTGAATCTAAGAAAGGACTGAAGGACATGCTGGTGCATACTGTTCCGCCTGCTACATTCACTCCTTCCAGTTGCTGTGGACAATTGGGAAGCCTTAGTGACAGCAGGCTTGGTGCAGGTGTTACCATGGCATGAGATGAACTTCAGGGGCAATGTTCCAGTCATTCTAATGCTGACACCTCTAGACAGTGGGGAAAGAAGTGCACTGTGGTATGTTTTTGCCATAAACATTGCCTACAGTTTAGTGACAGATGGACTTAGTCTCCAAGGCTCAAGTGAAATGAAGCAGTGTCTCAGAAGGACTCTGTAGGGCAAGAAAGGAGAGATGGTACAGCTGAGCAAGCCTTGGGACATTTCAATGTTCAATACTTGAATGTAGGCTGGGCAGAAATAGTTTCTGTAGACCATATAGCTAAATTCCTCCATGCAATTGTGATAGTGGGAAGTTCTGTGGAAACCTAGTGGTGGAAGGAGATAAAAATAAATTGGAAAGTAATTTGAGAAAACTGTTTACTAGGAGAGTGTTAAAATGGTAGAGAAACCCAAACCAACGTGTTCAGGAAACATAAGTTAGCAAATGGATTATGAGCTGACCTTGTTCTAGAAGCTAAAACTGTGTAGTTTAGCAAAGGACAGAGAAAGGTCTCTGTTTCCTGAGAAGAGTGAAGAGTACTGAATTTGTTATCTTACTGGATGTTTTGCTTTCTAAAGGGTGGGATAAATAATGAGTTATTTTGATTCTTTTGGATTCTTAATAAAAGAAGCAAAATTTTGAGTTGGTCAGAGAGTGAAAGTAATGTTCTAAAGGAGGACTGTAACATAGCAGCTGTGTTACCTTGGGAACAATGTGAACCTTCATCATGCAGGTTGCATTAATAAATAGGTAATTAAGAATACTTGTAACAAGGCATACATTATGTGGTATTGCATCAGAATAAGTCAGTGTGTATTACCCTGAACTCTAGCTCTACTGGGACAAACCATTAGCTAGTAAAATAAACACAGGTTCAGTCATTTTAAAGACCATTAATAACTTAAAGTAAATGAGGTTAGGAGCTCACCCATATCAAGATTGCTATGAAAGGTTGTCCAGCTCTGCTAGGCTGCAATATGTACAAATTAGGAAGGGAAAAGGGATGAGAAGAATGACACATTCTTTTGCTTCAATACAATATAAAAGTTGCAAACTGTGTCAGAGTTTGGCTCAACCACACTGGTTGACCAAGAAGAAGGAATCCTTAGTATATGAAAAGCTATACAATAGGTTAAGCCAAAGGTCTTTCTAGACCAACACTTAATTCCTTCCACAAGTAGGTGTTTAGAGAAAGACTAAGAACAGGGGAGGGATTAATTAATCAATAAAGTAAAAATAGTCTTTGAGGAGCCAAAAGTTTAGAGCCTTTCTGAACTTCAAATATATCCAAAATACTTTGCTCAGCCTTGTTTAAAGGTTCTTCAAGAATAAATGCTTTTTAAGTCCTTCTAGATATTTAGCATCCAAACCCATCTCCATAAGAATGAGTTTTATGAGTGTAAATCTAAGAGAAAGTAGTTTCTTGCGCTGGTTTTAAACCAGCTGCCCCATAGTTCTTGTTTCATAAGAAACAGTAAAGAATAACTGCTATTAACCTGAATATCATTTTAAACATTTGTTGTTTCTTTTTCAACTGAAAACACTGCTCAGTGAGCTCTCTTCCTATAAAAGCTGGGATTTACACTTTTTTCTTTCTACTCTGTCCTTTTGAAGGAGTATTATAAATGAAGGGTTGTATAGATACTGGCTGTACTATGGATTTATATAGCAGCAAGCTGTTATTTCTGTTTTTCCTAATGAGCTTATCACAGCTGTTTGTTTGATTACCCTTGAACAGTGACTGGGATGGAGTTTTCAGAGGACTATTTAAAATGTCTCCAACATCTCTTGCCTGAGAGTCTATAGCTAATTTATAGATCATCATGCCTGCATAGTAAAAGCTATTTTCTCCCCATGTGCTTTACTTTGGCTTTTTGCAAGATTAAATTTCAAGTGCCATTTTATCAGTGATTTAGTCACTATTGTGATATCCTTCTGCTGTTTTTTCACATTTGATTCTAGTTTTAACTATAAGCAAATGAAGAGATTCTGATTTAAGGAGATACTGAACAACACGGAACCCAACTCATAGTGGTTTCCCTCTATTTGAGAATTGCCCATTTATTCCTGTGCTTCATTTCCCATGTAGTAACTAGTTTATAACCTACAAGAGGAATTCTTATGTTATCACATCACAGCAATCCTTCTAGCAGCAGTGAAGCATGTTTTATGATGTAGCCGGACTTTCTGGGGGCATAATACACTTACAGCCTGTTATCCCTTTTATTTCAGAAACTTGCTAATAAGTGCACCATTGCTAATTGAGTTTTATTGTACAGAAATGTACGGAGAGGCTTCTCTGTTCTTGTGTAAGGTCACTTTCTTTCCCTGATGAATTTCTGAAATAATTATGTTCCAATGAATTCTGTGGAAGGCAGAAAATATTACATTGATTACCTGTAATGTAGAACATACACATGAGATGTGTTGAAGTGGCTGATGTGGCGACAAAATTGTTCCACAATTTTGGCCTGTCATTGTAACATTATGAAGACAAGTGAAGAGATCTCATCTTTATCTCCACCAAGCAGGATCTGAGCTTCCCAAAGGAGCATTCCTTGTTCATTTAAATGTTTCCTGAAAACTGTGGTCATCAAAAGTAGAGTTGAGCCTAAGAATGAGGATTTTCATGTTGTGGAAATGGAGTTTCTTTCCATAGTGAACAATGATTTGGGAATTTTACATGACCATTTCAAGTAACAGACATGGAAAAATAGTTACTCTAAAATATTTTATTTTTAAAAATAATTAAGTTATTAATCTTTTTCTGTTCCGCAAGAGTTGAGTGTTATATGTCCAACCCATGAAATATTAAAATTCAAGTTTCCAGACTGCAGTGCCTTAGTATTTAACTACAACATGAGAAGTTTAACCATCCAAAATTCAGGATCAGGTTGCCCAACATTTCAGCTACCCAACCACAACACATATGGTAGGATTTTTCAGAGAGAAAACTGGGAGAATCTAAGTTAGGATCCCTCGTCTCTGTGCTGATTTATATGGGGAATGTACATATCTAACTGTGTGTGGATTTGGATAGTTTGAGTATCTTCTGAGGTGCAGAACAGAAGGCACATGTGATACTCTACACTTGAAATATCTCTAGTACAAAGGATTGTTAAAATTTTCCACAGAGTTAAAGCAGAAAAGCTAAGGCTCGGTTTATGCTTTTCAAGGACTCTCGAGTCTTCTCTACATTTCAGATCTACAATTATAAAATGACAAGAAGAATAGTTACATCTCTGGTATGCTGGGAAGATACACATTGTAACATAACTGAGGCACTTGTCTAAGACAGCAAGGATGGCCATAGAAGTGATTCGTGGGTCTGGGCTGACTGTACAGGATCTGCTTAGCTTGTTATGGTAATCGTGAAGTTACATCCTCTCCTTTCAGGAGGTGTGGACTTGTGGTATTTTTTTTTGTAAACTCTGGATGAATGGCATGACTCGTGGTATGTTGATACACACTACCTGCTGTAGGTTGAGCAGGAATAGTGTGCTCCTGAGTGCTGGGCACAGCACCCAGCTCACGAGTGCGGGCACGACTGTGCTGCCGGTGTAGTGTACCCCGGACAGTCACCTCCTCGGTGGCGACGGGGCACAGCTTGTGCAAGCGTCAGCCGCACGCTTTGTGGCTCGGGCAGCCCGCGGTCCGCCGCTGTCCCGGAGCGCATCCCGCCGCTGCTCGGGTAGTGCCTGTCATGTGGCGGGCGCGTCACGGGGGGCGCGGTGCGGCCGCCGGGGCCGGAGGCGGTCTCGGTGTGCGCTCTGCCCCCGCCACACGCGTGGGTCTGCACGTCCGCCCCACACCCGGCCACCGTGTCCTTCAGGGTCACTCCCCGTGTGGCACGGCGTGTGTGTGCCGGCCGCGGGCACCATGCAGTCGGTGTGCGTGCTGTGCCTGTCCCCGTTCGCCCTGTGCCTCCGCGTGTGTGCGTGCGGCCCCCGCCCCTGCGCGGCCCCCGCCGCAGCAGCGCCCTGCCCCTGGCTCGGGCGGGCGGGGCGCCCGGGGGGGCGGCGGGCGGGACCCCGCGGAGCCCCGGGGCACCGACCGCCGCCCAGCTCCCCGCAACGCCTGGCGAGGAGGAGGCGGCGCGGCGGTTCACTCGCCCGCCGCGGCCCAGCCCCTTCTCCCCCGGGCGCCGCCCCTCTCCGCGCCGCCTGTGAGTCAGGGCTTTGCCGGGCACGGGCGACAGCCGGGGCCGGAGCGGACGGGCAGCCTCCGCCGCGGGGCTCCATGGAGAAAGCGGCGGGCGAAGGCGGCGGCAGCAACAGCAGCAGCCGCAGCAGCAGCCGCCCCACGTCGGCGGGCTCGTCCCCCTCGTCCTCCTCCCGGCTCGGCGGCGGCCAGCCCGGGGGGCGCGCAGGCGCCCGGCGGCGGCAGGCGGCGGGAGTCGGTGCTGGAAGGGACGCTCAGCAAATACACCAACCTCCTGCAGGGCTGGCAGAGCAGGTAAAGCGCCGGGCCGGCCCCCGGCGGCGCTGCGGGGCCGCGTCCTCGCCCCCGGCAGCCCCCAAGATGGTGCCCGGGCAACCGGCGCTGCCCGACCCGACCCCAAGCCTCCCCGGCCGCCGCGTCCCGAGGCCGGGCTCCGTTCCCCTCTGCGCCCGCTCTCCTTCCTTTTGTTCGACTTGTTTATTTTCCCAGCTGAGTTTGGCATAAGGGCGGCGGGGAGGTGGCCCGGCGCAGGGTCGGAGCGGTGTCCCCCGGCGCGGCCGCCGCAGGTGCGGGCGGGGCAGGGGAGGGCTGAGGCTGCACACACTGCTGTCCCTGCATGACAGGGCTCCGCTTTTAAGCTCCTTTTTCTATCACGTTAGTATCTGTCTCCTATGAAGTTAGCTTGGATAACTAAAGAATGAAAAACAGAGAGCCTCCCAAAATAAATGGGGAGAAATGTCGTGTTTGTGATTATTACTATTATTTTTTTGGCTGTGAGGTGGGACAGCGGAAACAGTTACCTTTGTTTCAATAAAATAACTCATGTTGCTATGTCCTACCTGTTTGACAAGCTCTAATTTATGCTGATACGGTGACAGGCCCAGGTCCTGCAATTTGTTGGGTGTGGACAGGCTGACCTGCATCTGTGGAAGTCCCGAGGAAGGTCTGGTTTTGGTCTAGTTGTAGTGTAAAATTTTTACAGAGTTGGAGCCAGACTGTGGAATTAATAATGCTGTGTTGGGATCTGTTGAAAGCAAAAGGGATTTGCTGTGATATTTTACTTTTTGTTGCTCAACTTTGTCGTCTTAGTGGACGGACAAAGATGTGTGTCCGAAACGCAACTTCTCAATATAAAGCAATGCTGTGGTGATTTTAAAGAGAAGAAGATACTATAGAGAGAACAAGTACAGGGCTAGTTATAAAGCTCAGTACAGACCTTTAAGAAAACAAACAAAAAGATTATAACCTGCTGTTACTTCTATTAGGTGATCACAAGCAATAGGAACACAGGAATGGCTGGATTCTTGAAGTTCTGACACAAAATTTAAAGCATTTGTAAGTGACAGAGTTGCATAAATGCCAGTGATGCTCTAGTGCTGAATCGTGTATGGCTAAATCAGTGCTAGGACTACTGTAGCAGTACTTCCTGGAGCATTTCAGGAGCTGATCTAATTCCATACACTGGAGGCCATGCATAGGTGTACCAGCTACAAATTAAAAAGTTTGGTGTGAGCTGGAGACACACATCTCCATTAAGCTTAACTGCTTCAGCAGAGACATAGAGAAGGCCTTTTTGCTATCATTTGGTTACTGCAGTTCTCTTCTAGATTCACATTAGACTTTTACCTATTTGTTGGTTTATATAGTCCTCCTGTAGCTTTGTTTAAGAAACAAACACATTTTGATACCTAAAATGTAGCACTGAAATCCATGACTAAAAATTTAAAGCCCCCTTCCCCCCTTTTTTCCCCCCTGACACCTCCATCTCTGTTTATAGAGATAGTATCTTCTTTTACTGTGTGTGATTTTAAGGGTTGTAATCTGGAATTGCAAAAGAGAGGTAATTGCTTATAAATCTTTGCGTCTAAAGCTGCCTGTTTTTTGTATTTGGAAACATTAAATCTTTGATAAGACTAACAGCTGGAATGGTATGCATAATCTGTGTGTGTCCAAGAAATTTTACCTGAAAACATGATGGAAAAAAGACAAATGTCACTTAAACAGTTCTACCACTTGGAAATTAATGTTTGTTTACTTTTAGCAGTCTTTTTTAATAGTGCTTTATTGTGCTTTGTCAATTGCCAGTTTTATTTTCTGTAAGTCTGGCTTTTTGAGCAAGTGGTTTATCATAAGACAGCTTTTAGGATAAGTTACTTTTTTAGTTTGCTCTCTTACTCTGTTCTTTTGATGTGTGTAGCTGTGGTTTGGGGTGCGGAATCCGATACAAGTTCTAAACAGTTCAATTGAAGCTTGAGGCTCACAGAAGTTGATCTTACTATATAATGTTCAATAAATGAGTAGTGATCCATGGGTTTGAGCATGGTTGTCCTTTTGGCCTTCTGTTATTCCATTTGTTGTGGAATGTGTTTACTGAATTGGAGCTCATTCTGTAACAGTCTGTAAGCGACTTCGTAGCTGGCACTTGCAGCATATTTGTTAGCAGACAAATTAGTTTTGCATTTACTTCATTTGAAAAAACACAAGATTGTTCAACTGCATGATCAATACAACCAGATGGCATGAATACAAATAAAATGGAAAAATAAAGCGAAAACTGACAGAGTTCACTTATCGTGGATTTGGAATGTTCTTCTTTAAAGCTCCTTATCCATTAGCCTGAATAATTTAAATGTACTTGATGTTAGCTCTTGCCATGTGGTATTGAAGTTGAAAGGCTTTCCTAGGTTATCCAACACTTAGTGTGCAGAGTAGCCTTTACAAGTCTGAAGTAATTTGAATTATAATAAAGTAGTGTCACTTCTGAATAAATGTTCCTTTAGCAGGCATATGCAAGGTAGTCTGATTGTGGATGAGGGAACTGAATATGATTACTGAAGCATAGCACTTTGTTTATAAGCATTAACTGAAGTAATTGAAGGCCTCAAAATCAGCCAATCTGGATAGCTGCATTACTTCTTATTTTGAGAATTTCCAAGTGTTTGTTGTTTGTTACTAAAGAAATCCATTTGCTCTGCTCTAGCAGATCAGGAACAACCTGATCTGGAAATGAGTGAGGTGATTCCTCACCTTTATGACAAGCAGAAGGAGAAGGTGGTTTTTTGGTTTGTTGTTTTGAGGCAGTTTGTTGTGTGAGAAAGGTGTCAAGGGGTCTGGGCATTTGCAGTGTCTCCACTTGAATCTGTAAGTTTCTGTGAATTTATTCAGGTATGGATACAGAGAGTGGAGCTTAATCTGAAACAGACTCTGACATAAGAGCACTTATGTCTGGTCTGAGACAGTAGGGCATCTGGCTGTCTTTACTATGAAATTACAAGTAATTGTGTTCTCAATTGAAGTACTGTTACAAATAATTTCTATTGGGATTTACTTGTTACTTTTGTATGGGAGGGTAGAGCTTGTATTCTAAGCAGGAATTACGTGGATTTGATGGACAAATATGTCTCTGTAATGTCATCTCATGTCATGCAAGACCTAGTTTTCATTCATTAATTTGAAATTATTGAAATACTTATTGCCTGTTATGTTACTATCCTGTCCTTTGAGTAGACTGGCAAAATGTTGTAAAAAAATCTTAAAACCCCTGTTTGCTCAAGGTAATGGGAAATTCACAGTGTTTGCATCCTCCCCTCCACTTTTCCCCTGAAAATACTTAGTACTTACACTTGTAGGGTTTTATCCTGCAAGTGTGTATAAAGTGCTGGATTGTCTGCATTTGAGCTGGGACTTAAATCTGGGTTTGTAACAACAATAAATGGAGCCCTGGCTGATGGATGTTGTCACTTTTCTGAGCTGAACTGCTCTGTGTAAGTTGTTCTGTAGCCCAGGTGTTTTTTTAAACATTATTTTGGCCTACTCCTGTTTCCTCTCTCAGGAAATGTATTGTGTTACCAGCCTGCATGAATCATGCCTGACTTCTTGTGCTTGGGCACCACCAGACTTCTTTTGAGGATTAGCTGCATTCCCTGTAGGTCAACAAAAAGTGTACTTTGGGGCAGTCTAGGGATTTTTTGCACTCAGGATCTTTATCAGGCTCTCCAGTGCTGTGGTGTAATCTCTTGTCTTGTGTAAAGTTTTCTTCTGACTCCTGCCACAAGAGAAAGATCCTTTCTTATTACCAGTGTCCCAAGCAGCAGGTAGCCTTCAGATTTTAGTGCCACTTTAGGAGCTGATTTTACTGGCTCCCAGAGCTTGTGCTGTTCTGACTGCAGCTGTTATGGGAGGGTTTTCTATGTATGCTGACAAAATGTGTCAACATTGTATTGTGCTGTAGCACAAAAATCTGTGTGTAACATTTTTGTTATTATTATTTTTATAAATTTGTATGTATATTCCAGAGAAACAGATTGTGACCTCTTAGAAGAATTGACGAAGGTACCTTCACACACAGTAATAACCTCCCTCTCCCTCTTTCTGAATCAGCTAACTAGTCTTTCACAGAGTTTTGTGATTGACTCATCTGCTTGTGGAGTTTTGGGGTAGTTAGCACTTCTAGTACTCGCTAGTATTCTTAGTATTCTTCAGTATAGGATATACTATATATAATACTATCTACAGTATTCTTCAAAGGTACCAGTCAAGTTGTTCCAGCAATTAATTTGGGCATTTTTCCAGTATAAAAAAATACTGAACAAACTATATGACTATGGTATACCTGTATAGCTGCTGAGGGAGAAATCTGTCCTAGAGAAATCAACTGGGGTTTTTTAGTATAAAAATAAGCCACACTCCTAATAAGCCATATTAGCCATATTAAATAGCCTAACAGTAATCAGTGTCTGAGAAGGAGAAAATAGCCACACGATTAATTTAATGTTTGCAAAGTTTGCTGAAATGGGAATCTTTTGTGTTCTTACTGGAATTAGATTAACACCAGCTCCTCCACTGCGTATTTTTTCATCTTAGTGTTATTCTGTGGCATGTCCATCCAGGGTTTTGTGTAGTGTTGTAACACTCTCCAGGATTTATTTGCAGAGTCTGTGCACAGGGAGACTCCCTTTTAAGGAGCTGGAGATGCAATATATTCTGTTTCTTCTGTTGTTCTGCATCTCCTGCTTGTATTTTGGAGCCTTGCTTATAATTTGTTAGGAATTGTGTAAACCTTAAAATATCAAGGTGTTTTTATACTATAGTGCTTACATTCTTTTAAAGATTTTACTTGCAAAATAGATTTTACTGGAGACTGTGTTGTCCCTTCACTTGTAGGCTTTCTTAGTAGTAAGAGGCAATGTGAAAAGGAAGAAATCTACTTAAACCAAACTTATTTTAGTTCTCTGGAGCAAATGATGTTTCCTGTGCTAAAAACTCAGTAGCTGCATATTTGACATTATTTAAAT